GGGCGAGGGCTCAGCAGTGCTGCCATCTGTACCTTCCCCACGGACAGACAGCAGCCCGGAGCCTCCAGACAGCTGGCGCTTGGCTTCTAACCCTATCTGTGAGGTCCTTTGGGACTTCCTCTGCCTGGGCAGCTCTCCTCACTGAAGAGCAGTTAGGGACAGTGGCTTTACAGGAAGCCCTTACCGGGGTAGAGCTGAGCCTCATCAGCTTCCTTTGGGGTTACAAATTGGTAAAACCAGTAAAACCTTGTGCCCTTTGATGGGAAATCGATAAGGCTTCCTAGTTCTGTAAAGAGAGTCTTGGAAACCCACAGGGCCAATTCTACCCTGTCCATAGGTTGCCGTGAGGCAGCACTGACCCGATGGCAGTGAGAGTTTTCGGTCTTTCAGTTTCTGTCTTTTGACAACCTGTCTAGGGCAGGAGTAAGGCACTCTGGCAGTGCAGTAGGTAAGCGCTCAGCTGCTCACCAGGAGGCCAGGTGTTCAAATCCACCAGTCGCTCTGTAGGAAAAAAGCCCCGGCCACGGCTCCTGTAGAGAGCGCAGCCTGGGAGATGCTGTGGGAGCCATCCACTCTGTCCTAGAGGATGGCTGCACAGTATACGGACCCGGGGGCACAGAGCAACACTGGGGCTCGACAACAACCTCCACGTGACAATGGAAAGCCTGTTCAGGGCCTCATGTGTCCCTGGGATGGGTCCCTGCAGAGACCAGGCCTCCAGGAGCAAGGAGCGCCCCCAGCCCCACCGTGGGAACCTCACCAGGAAGGCACAGAGCATGTAGAAGCTGATGAAGTAGTAGTAGGCGAAGTTGGTGCCGCAGGTGTACTCCTCTCCAGGGAGGTAGTCTGACTCAGGGTCACACAGCTTCCCGTAGCTGCTGGCCAGCAGGATCTCCTGCCAGGCCTCCCCGGTTGCACACCTGGAGGAGAGAGGCCCTCGTTGGCTAAGCCAGTCTCAGGTGGCTCCCCAGGAAGCCAGCAGTTGGGTGACTATCAGATGGGGCCGCTGTCTGAGAAGTGGGGAGAAGTCAGAGCTCCAAGCTCATGGTGAACTGGGCCTCGGTTTCCCCGACTGCACTGAGGCCTCTTCTCCACCTTCAGGGAGCACTATAGCAGGAGCTAAGCTGGAGAAAAGGGGTTCATTCTTTGGATGGAGGGATCAAACCAGCCACAATTCTGTCCCCGGGGCTGTGGGGGGAGAAACTTCATGCCGAGTGTTGTGGGGGCAGAAAAGGGAGGCATGGAGGTCTCACTGTTCCCAGGAACGACATCCACCCTCCGGCTCCCACTGCAGCAGGACGGAACTGGGTGCTCCACTCCGGAGCTGCGCCCTCCTTGCAGGCCCCGTGCAAAGACGCAGGGCCGCTCTATCTCAAGCAACGGTTCTCCACCTGTGGGTCCCCACCCATTTGGGGGTCGAAGGACCCTTTCACAGAGGTCGCCCGATTCATAACAGTAGCAAAATGACAGTGATGAAGTAGCAATGGAAATAATTTTATGATTGGTGGCCGGGGAAGAACTGTATGAAAGGGTCGTGGCATTAGGAAGGTTGAGAACTGCTGATCTAAAGCATCGGGCACTCCAAGAGCCTCAGACCCTGTGCAGGCCTGCGAGCTCAGGGCCCGGGGGGCAGAGGGGTGCTCTTGATTCCCTCCCATGGGGAGCTGGGAGCGCGGGGACTCCTGCCTGAAGAGCAGCAGCACAGCTTGCGGGAAGGTCTGGAAGTTGTTGTTCCGGTTGATTTGAGTCCCATCCACCATGGCGATCTTTCCGAACATCTGGACACCACAAAGAAAGAGCTCGGATTTGGAGGGAAAGTCTCCCCTTAGCTCAACTCCCCCACCCCACCCCGCCCCCCATATCCCTGGAGGCCCCTGCTCTTCAGACCGCTGAAGAGACTTGAAGTCACTGGATGGCATTCTAGGTTGCGTGCTGTTGTTCCCACCGGGCCAGAGACCCGCTGGCTGGACCAGGTCTGTCAACAGCCAGCAGAACTCGGGCCTCCCGCTGTGTGCGGAGGCCTCCACCTGGGCCTCCAGTCCTGAGAGACACCACCTGGCCCCTCTGTCCATCTGCCCTCTGCAGCGGTGGCTCCAGGATGACTTGCAGCCTCCTGACACTAGCACCTCCTCCCTCAGCCTTGCAGCGGCCCCTGGGTTGTAGGGTGAGTGGGGCAGCAGCGAGGGGGCAGGGTCCATCCAGCTGATGGGGCCTCCCTGGGATCTACGGATGGCTCCTTTCACATGGCCACAGCCCGCCCTTCAGCCTGGCTGGAGGCGCTCACCTGCATGCCGATGACAGCGTAGATGAAGAAGAGCATGACGATGAGCAGCGCCACGTAGGGCAGGGCCTGCGGGGGAGGGGCGAGGGGCGAGGGCGGGGTGGGGGGTGTGGTCAGGCAGGGCCTCCAGCCCTCCTGCTTTCAGGTCCTGGGCCCTGCCTTGCTCGCCTGAGGCTCCCCGGCCCCCCCTGGCCTGACACTGATGTCCCCAGGGGCCTCTCAGCGTTCTGCAGGGTCGGCTGGGCTGGGCACGCACCTGGAAGGACTTGATGAAGGTCCACAGCAGGGTGCGCACCCCCTCGGCGCGGCTCAGCAGCTTGATCAGCCTCATGACCCGGAACAGGCGGAAGAAAGCACTGGAGATGCGGGCGCTCTCGTCTGGGTCCTACGGGGCAGCAGCCCCAGAGGTCAGTCTGGGGGGCAGCACTTCAGGAGGAAGAGAGGTGCAGGGCAGGGTGGGAGGTGCAGTGTGTGTGTGTGTGTGTGTGTGTGTGTGAGTGTGTGTGTGTGTTGGGGACTGGTCTGCAGTATGGGGGGGGGGGAGCTCCAGCCCCACCTGCCCACTAGTTCAGATCCCCTTCGGACTCAGGGCTCTGTGGTTGTTCAGCCAGAGGGGAGGAGGCAGGCTTAGAGCACAATCTGGGCTTCCACTGGGGGAGGCTACAGCCAGGCCTGCTGCCTCCCTTTTGAGGCTTCTAGCCTCCCCTCCCCTTCTCCTCAGCTGCCACCCAGCCCAGGCCCTTGGTAGCCCCTCCCCTGGTGTTCTCCCCGACAACGGCCCCTTCAAGCTCCGCTGTTCTATTGCTATACATTCAGCATGGCCACCTCCTGCGTCCAGCCCCATCCGGAGCCTGGCCTCCGCTGCCTTCATGCCAGCCTGAGACACACAGTTAGCTGGAGGAGGACCTCCAGGGCCCCAGCCACCACTGCCCCCATTGGGTGTCCCCATGTGCATACAGGGTGTCGCTCTGAGAAAGCCACCACACCCGTGAGCATCGTGAGCATCCTACCACACAGCCTTGTGCCCACCCTGACCCCACCAGGACCCTCAGCAGCCCTGTGCTGGGGAAGGAGCTGCGCCATGCACTGCAGGCGGCCAGGCCTTAGCAAGCAAAATGCTGGCACAGCGGGTGGGCAGGCCCATGCAGCCTGAATTACAAAGTTCCCGCAGCCTCCGCCCAGGCAATACAGTCCCCCGCTGGAGGCCAGGAAAGTCTGTGGAGAGAAGAGATGGGGTAGGGGTGGGGTGGGGGCGGGAGAGAGAGGAAAAGGGACAGGTCGGAAGGCAGTGAGGACAGGTTTCAGAGAGGATAGACGCATCGAAGGGTTAAATCGAGAGAAAGGCAGAGGGCAGAAGACCCCCATGGTTGTCAATCAGGGATGGGTGAGGGGTGGTGGGACTGAGGCAGGGAGCAGCAAGGGGAGGGAAGACAGGGCACAGAAAGTCCCTCTTGTTTCCAAGATCACTGAGAGTTGACAAGGGGCCGGGGGGCCTCCTGTGTGGCTGGGTTATGTGAGGAGGGTGACGACCCTGGTGAGGGTGCATGCCTCTTCGTTGTGTGAGGGGGCTTCAGAGACGTTTGGGAAAGTGGAATGAAAAGATAATGGGAGTTTTCCACCCCTTTTCAGCCCACTTGAAAATAGCATCATCCCTGTCACCCTGATGCCAGAGATACTGGCCAAGTAAGCCTCTGGTGGCGCTGAGGCCCGTGTAGGATCCCCATCTTCCAGGTGCCATGCTGTTCTGGGAGGCCTGAGATCCCTGGAACTGGGCCCACGACCAAGGCTTGCCCCTCCATGGGCAGGCTCTCGGAGAGCAGGCGGTTGAGGCGGTGGGAGTGTACTGCCCCCCATTGACACTGAGCTGCTTCCCTGGGTCAGACTGGATGAGAAGGCAGTGGCCAGAGCCTGAAACTGAGGCAGTCAGCTGTTCCATCATCCAACCCTCCCTTGTACCCACCACCCTCGGGACCCAGGCCAAGCCACAGTCTCTTGGGCAGCTTCTCCCTGGACCACCACCCCAGTTCCCAACCTTGGCTGCACACCGGAATCACACGGGGCACACGCACAAACACAGAGACCTCGCCTGCATCCCCACACAGCCTTTCTCGGATGGGACCTGGCTATAGGGTTTGAAGTGGCACCCCAGCCCATTGTCATGGAATTAACTCTGATTCATGGCACCCCATGCTGCCTGCACGGCACTGTGCCCCACAGGGTTCTCAGGGGCCGACTCTGGGGAAGCAGGCCACCAGGCCTTTCTTCTGGGTGCTTCTGGGGGAACCTGAACCGTCAACTGTTGGTGCCACTCAGAGACTCCAAAGGCCCTCGAACGGACCCTCATGTGCAGCCATGGGTGCCTGCCCATCTCCAGGCCTGTGCAGTACAGGGCAGTGACTGACACTGGCCACACAGGGCTGCTGGAATCACGATGAGACGCAATTGATCAGAACGCCCATCCCTCAATTGCATGGATCACAGGGGAAGTGATGAGTAGCCTCCCGTGATGAGTGCCTATTATACCAGAGCAGAGGCTGCCCATCATCAGGACAGGTGGCCCCCCCACATGCCTCCCCCAGGTTGTGCTCCGGGAATGTGAATGCATCTCAATGGACCTCAGGTGGACCTCACACGATAACCAACGACAGCTTCCATCCTCTAGTAACCAAGGAGCAGTTTCGATGTCTGCATAAACTCCCCCAATGCCAAGCAGGGATGGTGGCTATTATTATGCTTTTTATATGGGGCTGTTTACGTTGGCTGGTTAGAGTTCTCTCCTCGAACTGGGCTGGTGAGAGGTGCTGTTCTCAAATCAGGGTGCTCTCAGGGAGGGATGCTGCTTCCCAGCTGGAACTGAGCTGGGACACACACACACACACACACACACACACACACACACGGATGGATGCTGCTTCCCAGCTGGAACTGAGCTGGGACAGAGACACACACACACACACACACACACACACACACACACACACACACACACACACAGTTTGCCCAGAACTCATCCGGCCCCTCCTGGGCCCCACCCTGAGCAGATGGAGTTCTGTCTGCCACGGCCTGCTGTGAACTAGTGGAGAAGAGGAACCCAGCTGGGCCCTCCCCTGGCACTCCAGACAGACAGCTGAGGCGCCAAGTCCCCAGAAGGACCCGCTCCCTGCCTGGCTGCACACTTCAGGAGCATCAGGCCCAAGGCTCCCACAGGCCCCAGACTTCTCACCGGCTCTCTCACCCTCAGCCCTCTCAGATCTATCTCGAGGGCCACATGCTGCTTCCCACCCGACAGAGTGTCACCCGGCAGGTGCAGTCGGAAGTGCAGAAGGAAGCCCTACACATAAGGGACCTCCCCTGGCTCAGGCCTCCTCAGGCGGATCCCTGACCTGGCACGGGCTGTGGGCCCATGAGGGCGGCTCAGAAAGAAGTCTGCTCGCCCTCCCACCTCCTTACTCCTTCCCCTCCACAGCCAGCCTCCCCCACCCTCTAGCCCAGCGGTTCTCAACCTGTAGGTCGAGACCCCCTTAGGGGTCAAACGACTCTTTCACAGGGGTCTCCCGATTCATAACAGTAGCAAAATGACAGTGATGAAGTAGTAACAAAAATAATGTTATGGTTGGGGGTCCCCACCACATGAGGAACTGTATGAAAGGGTCGTGGCTTTAGGAAGGTGGAGAACCACTGAGTTAGAGGAACTCCACTGTCAGCACTGCTCTCGGGGAAGCTGCTGTCTGAGCAGCCCTGGACAGATTTCCACCTCATGGGCCTCGCTGGTTGGCACCTCTCCCCTGCCCGCTGCTCTGCCTCCCTTAATACCAAATCCCTTGCCCTTGCACAGCCCGGCTCAGAGCCTCGAACTTGGCCTTCGTCCTCACTCCCTCTCAGCCCAGCTCTGGAGGCCATGCGCTGCCTGCTCCATCTGGGCTCTAGGCGCTCCATCATTTCCAAGACAGCCTTGTTGTCCTGGCATGAACCTCGGGATTATGCTGTTCCTGGGCTCTGGCCTCTTTTCTCAGGCTCACGGGTTGTCACGTGTTCCTTCTTCCAGGCTCTGTCCCCATCCCTACTTCCAGACACAGGTCTCTGCTGCACACCTGCTCTGGTGCATGGCCACCCAGGTGCTCCCGGGGAACCATCCCTCACACCGGTGACTCCCCAAGGCTCGCTCACCCCCTCCTGCCCAACCTGCCCCTGCCTTCCTCAATGATCCTTTCTCACCCGCGTCTTTAATCTCTCTTCAGCCTTGGCTCCATCCACAGTGCTCTGTTTCCCCAAAAGCAAATCTGGACCCTGAATCGACTGCTCTTCGACAGATACCCTTTGCCCAACTTCTCCTAATAGTGGTTCCTTTGGCTTTCTCACCCTCTAGCCATGACCGATCTCTGGTCGTCCCAGGTCTGCTAAGCTGTCACCCTGAAGCACGACGATGGCCTCCTATGCACGAGCCTTAAGTGGGAATCTCAGCTCTGTGCAGTCGCTGGGCCTCACCCAAGGCTCCCACCATGACCTTCCTTCATTGGTGTTGAGCCCATGTCTATAGAGTTCCCACCTGGGACTACTAGAAAGGTGGTTGGTTCACATCTGCCCATTGGCACCATGGAAGATGAGTCTGGTGGTCTACTTCCCTAGGATGATCACCACTGAAGGCCCTGGGGACTGCAGTGCTACTGTGACACCCACAGGGTCCCCGGGTTGGCCCCCGTTGCCAACCAGATGGCCCTAGGTCTTTGCTAGGTTGGTTTCTCACCATGCAGTAGATGCAGAGAATGACACTCAGGCCCCTTCCTGTATTTCCAATTCTGTGCTACACGTGTCTCCTTGTCGGTGCTTCCTACAGGCTTTCCACACTCAACCGTCTCGTCAGCGGTTCTCAACCTGTGGGTCATGACCCCTTTGGGGGTGGAATGACCGTTTCACAGGGGTCGCCCAATTCATCACAGTAGCAAAATGACAGTTATGAAGCAGCAACAAGAATAATTTTATGTTTGGGGGTCACCACCACATGAGGAACTGTATGAAAGGATCGCGGCATTAGGAAGGCTGAGAACCCCTGGAAGCGGAGCAATGGTGAGCCTGCTGCCTCCAGCCTGCTTCTCTCTTGGGCTACCAGCCCCATCCTCAGAGTCACCACAACCCTTTCTTTCCCTGGGTTCCAGGTCCAGCACTCAACAAATCTTGTTGACCCCTTTCAGTCTTTGAATGTTTCTCCTGCCGCACTCTGAGGCCTACCTCCTGTTGCTCTATGCCCATTTTCCTTGTCTTCACTCTTGCTACCACGGATGGATGTCTTAAGCCTGCTGCCCCCCTCCTCCCCTCTCCCCACACTCACACCTTGGGAACTGGTTCCCGGGCCCTTTCATTGATTCAAAGCTCTTGGCTCTTGCATGTGCCCTCTGGCAAACCGCTATTTGCATGAGCCCAAGGATATGCTGTACTCTCTCTCATTTGCCAAAGAAAGTTCTCCTGGACTCCATACCCTCTTGCAACTTCAGTCGGATTTCTCTTTGCAGCCAGGAGTGTCATCTGTCAGTCTTCACTCTCTTTCAGTGTCTCAAAGGAGTGTCCACATCTCCGTCTTCACTCTCTCTTCTGGGTGCACCAGGGCTTCTTCCCAATGAAACCACTCTGGTCAAGGTCACTCATGGTCTCTACCAATGACCTCCCCAAATCCAAGTCAGTGCTAAGTTCTCAACTTCCCTGTCTTTGTTTGTGGCCGTGCTCAACTGCTCTCTCACACAACACTGACTCCCCTGCCTCAGGGGCCAACTGCTTCTCACTCCTGCTCAGCAGCTCCTCCCCTAACACTGGAGTGCTCCTGGGCCGCAGTCTTGGCACCTGTTCCCTACACAGCCCCCTCTTAGTTGTCTGATGCTGTGATAACAGAAGTACCATAAGTGGGTGACTTTAATAAACTGAACTTCGTGATCTTACAGTCTATTTAAAAAAAACACCCCTCACTGCCATCAAGTCAATGCTGGCTCACAGCGACCCCCGTGGGTTCCTGGGACATAACTGTTACGGGAGTAGAAAGCCCAGTCTTTCTCCCTTGTTGCTGCTGGTGGTTTCAATCTGCCAACCACGCAGATCGCAGACCAACACCTAACCACGACCCCCGCCCACCCCAGGGCTCCTGGCATCTTTCGGTTTCAGAGGCTGGGAGTCCCCATTCAGAGCCCCTGCTCCAGGGAGAGGCGCCCTCTCTGTGCAGGCTCTGGGGAAAGGCCGGACCTCTCCAGCTTCTGTTCCTAGATCCCTTACTGTTTGCCGGCTTGCTTAGTTCCATCTCCGCTCTCTCAAAAGAGATGGATGTTCGTCAATACACTCCACATGGGTCCTCCCCCGTATGCCAATAACAATTCGACCTCCGATGGGATCAGATTGCATGCATGAGAGTTAGGATCCCAGTACATGTTGTTGGCGGGGACGCAATTCATCCCTCACGCTGTTCTGAGTGACCGCATCCCTCCCCATGCTCCCTGTGCCGTCTCATGTTGTGGAGTCTCAGACTGATAGCTTGGATTTGACCCAGACTCTGAACTCCAGACTCATAAATCCAACTGCCTCCTTGATTTTTCCATTCGGAAGTCTAGTAAGCATGTCAGATTCAACATGCCCAAAACAGGACGCTTGGTTTCTACCCCATGCCCGTTCCTTCGGCAGCTTCCACGTCTCTGTAGAGCAGTGGTTCTCAACCTTCCTCATGTCATGATCCTTTAGCACAGCTCCTCATGTGGTGGTGCCCCTCCCCAACCATAAAACGATTGTCATTGCTACTTCGTAGCTGTAATTTTGCTACTGTTATGAATTGGGCGGCCCCTGTGAAAGGGTCATTCGATGCCCAAAGGGGTTGCGACCCATAGGTTGAGAACTGCTGCTGTAGACTGAGGCTCAGCTGGATCGGGCAAACATGGCTGCAGTCATTCTTGGTTTGTGTTCTCTTGTCCTGAATCAGAGGAGCCTGGTGGCGCTGTCAGTCAAGCATTGGATTGCTAACTGCAAGGTCAGCAGTTCAAACCCACCAGCTTCTCCTCAAGAGAAAGATGAAGCTGCCTGTTTATAGTCTCAGAAGTCCCACATAGGGTTGTTATGAATCAGATTCGACTTGATGGCAGTGGCCATGGTTTCTGCTCATTTTGGATTACCCTAAACCAAATCCACCAGCAACGATTCTCAGTTTAGCCTTCAAAATGGATCGGAAGCTGACCACTTCCCACCCCTACCCAGCTGGCCAGCCCGGCACCACCATCTCTGACCTGGACAATGGCGCCAGCTGCCTGACCGCTTTCCCTGGGTCAGCTCTGTCTTCTCCAGCCTGCTCTCACCTAAGCGGCTAGAGTGCTCCTTTGAGAACTAAACCAGAGAAGGCCGAAGCCTCCAAAGGGCTCTCATCTGTCTTGGAATAAAACTCAAGATTGTAACGGCAGCCTTCAGGGGGCTAGGCGACCCAGCCCTCATCCTGCCTCTCTCTGGGATTTCACCTCCACCACTCTCCACTTGCGACGTCTGCCTCCCCTTCATTCCCGACTCTCCCCACAACCCATATTTCCCATCTCTTCCCGGCCACGGCCTTGCTGGAGGCAGGTCTTTGAGCAGGTGCCTTCCTGTCAGAGAGGCTTTCCCCGCACCGTCCCACCATCCCCGCCACGCCACGTCCTGCCACGTCCTGCCACTGAGTGGGCCGCAAACTCGTGGCGATCCTGGTCCTGCACCAGCCCCATCAATGGTTACAAATTGGACCCTTGCCATCCACACAGTTTGCCCTGGCTGGTTTTTCTGAAGCAGACAGCCAGGCCTTTCTTCCCACTGTCTTAGTTTGAAAGCTCTGCTGAAACCTGCTCAGCATGGCAGCAGTGTTCAAGCCTCCCTGGCGGATGGCTGCACCCCGGTTGTGTGTGTGTGTGTTTGTCCAAGAATCAAACCCCAGCCCCTGCATGGTGGTGAGAATGCTCCCACGCACCGGACCACCTAGGCCTCCCCCGAGTCCTTAGCCTGCATTCATCTTCTCCGTAGCGTGTACTGGTCCCCCGGCCTTGTTACAGAGCTGTGTGTGTCGGGGTTTGCCCCCTAGGATAGTTCTAGCACACCACCTGGCAGAGGAGGAACTGAAGGCCCGCCTTCCTAGCAGGGCGCCTATTGCCACGCATGCTCACTTCCTGCCAGCGTGGGAAGATTGCTCTCCTGCTCCTGCTGCCCTGTTCAACAGCCTTGGTGACCCCCCTGCTTCCCCAGTGAAGCCCACGTCCCGCCTCCTCCCTCCACACCTCTCTCCTCCTCCCCTCCAGGTGCTCAGATGCTGCCACTAACAACGTGGGCCTCACAGCACGCCCCAGACCTCCTTGGCACTTCCTGTCCTACAGCTGCCCTGCCTGGGGGGCTGGCCCTCCGTCTCCTCCTCCCTTCCCCTCACAGGGCACCTCCTCCAAGAGGCCTTCCCTGACCACCCTCCCAGACACCACCTGTCCCTTCTTGCCACCACGACAGTGCTTGCCCTGCCTGGGGCACTCATTCTGCCTCGGTGGCATCTGGGCGGGCTGCCCACGTGGCAGGTTCACAGGCTCCTGAAGAGCAGAGGCCACAAGGGTCACCCCTCCCTTGGGAACCGCTAGGTCCATGCTGCACACACAGAGGGCACCCCGGGGTACGCTAGCGGTGGAATCAGGGTGAAGAGACCATGGGGCGTGTCGGTGAGGGTCTGTGGGCACACAACGTGTTTTGGGTCCCCCTCCCAGGGGCGATCCCGCCTGATACTCACATCGATCTCACTGAGGATGACGTCGATAATGCTGCCGATGACAATCAAGAAGTCAAACACATTCCAGGGGTCTCCAAAGTAGCCCTGGGTAGGAAAGGGGTGAGAGAAGCAGGGGCGGAGCTTCAGGAGGGCAGCTCTCGGGCAGCAGAGGGCAGTGGTCTCTGGGGGGTAGGGAGTGATTCAGAACCCCCAACCAGGCCAGGGGGCCAGGCTCCACGCTCCCGGATGCTCCACCTGCCCACCTTGCTCTTACCTCCTCACGGCCCTCCTCTAGAGCACAGAGCACGTGGGGTGAGGGGAGGGAGAGTCACAGGGACTTAAGATCCAGGATCCTGCTCCAGGTTGGTGAGCCCTTTTATCCCCCCTCCCCATCTGGGGCCTGCCCTGGAGGATCCGAGGAACTGTAAGAGGTGGCTGGACTGGGCTGGCAGCCACGGGCGTGAACTTGGGAATCAAACAACAGAGGACAATATTCCTGCTGGTCCTGGGCCTGCTCTTCCAAGGCTTATGAAAAGATGGGGACAGCAATGAGACACCCAGCCTCTATGCTGTCACTGGTCATCCTGCGCACCCCGAGGTTCACCCACCCCACACCTGAAGGGGGAATGCACGTGGGAGCAGGGGTGCCGGTCAGGGATCTGAGGGAGGAAGGTGAGTGGTCCATGAGAAAGCCCCCAGCCCATCACGCCCCGCTGCCCTCTCCCCTCTGCATCTCATCTTGGCTCTCAGCACTCACCCTGGCCTTGAACGCCATGAGCTTGAGGATCATCTCCAAGGTGAAGATGATTGTGAAGGCCACGTTGAGGATATCTGAGATGTTGTTCATCTGCTCGGACTGGTTGTAGTGCTGTCGGGGCAGGGGGACACGGGAGAGAGGGGCTGGCAGACACTGGGCTCCTCTCCGGCAGACTGCATTCTCTACCTCCTTCCACCTTTGTCTCCCCCTTGGGCCCCCTGCTCACCATCTTAGTTCAAAAGGCTAGGAGCCTAAGTACCCAAACCCCATCAAGAAGCAGGAGAGGCACGCTCGTAGCAAGTCCTGCAGAGTGAGTTTACTTACAGCAGCCAGGGCTGTGAGGCCAGAGCTGCTTGGCATATCTGTTCTGGAATGATGAGGAGGGCAGCCCAGACCGGGCTTGTCTGACAGCCTCCTCTAGTCATTTGGACACAGGGAGAAGGGAGAAGACCCCTGGGCTCTAGAGCTGGTACTGTCATTAGCTACTGAACTCTGGTGGTACAACAGTTAAGCACTCAGCGGTTCCCCGAAAGGTTAGCAGTTCAAACCCACGCAGACGCACCTAGCAGAAATGCCTGACATCTGCTCGGGTCACGATTACAGCTCTGAGAAACCCGAGGGGGCGGGTCTACTCTGTTCCTTGCCATTGCTCTGTGGTGGAAACCAGGCACAGCACCCAGCACTAACAACTGGTGGGGGCTGGGCTCACCAAGGCTGCGGCATCTGACTGCTGGCCATAGTGATGGGGAGGCAGCTGTGAGCAATTACCTTTGACCTCTTGCCCCACCCCTATAAACTCCACACAGCTATCTCCTGTCCTTCTGATTTTAAACATGACAGACCCCTCTGTCTGTCACAAACCCTTCCCAGGTAGCTCAGAGGAGCTGAGGGCTCCCCACCCAAATCCTCTGGCCTGCTTTGGCCTGAATGTGAGCCTTTGCTCGGATCCTCTGTATGTTCAGTCCGGTCCTGCTGGCTCGGAGACTCCCTGCTCACATGTGGACATGCCCCGTGGATGTGCCTGGACACTAGGAGTGGGGAGCCACGCTGTGCAGTTCTGCTTACACCGGGCGTAAGAGACCCGGTGCTCAATCAATGCTCCGTAATCATGTCGTTGTCTGTGCTACGGTCTCCCAAGAGCGGTACCTGTTCCGTGGCCCCTAGACCGGCTCTTCTTGGGACCTGAACCAAGATTCCAACCAACTCAACCATCCAGAGCATGACCTGTTTATGGAATGAGCATAGCTAGGTGTAGATCTGAGTTATCTCCCCAGTAAACCATCAGGAGCTGGTGGGAAAAGCCTGAGTGCAGGTCCCACAGTGCTTCAGCCCTCCAGGCCTGGCACCTTGCAGGGGCATCAAATGTCTATCGATGGGCTGGGGGAGGCCGATGGGACCTGCCAGACCTGTCAGACATCTCCCACGAAGAGCCCCCTTACCTGCATGCCCAGGCAGATGGTGTTGAGCATGATGAGGGCAAACATCAGGTATTCAAAGTAGGAGGAGGTGACGATGTACCACACCTTGTACTGGTAGGGGTTCTTGGGGATGTAGCACCGCAGTGGGCGAGCTTTCAGGGCATACTGTACACACTGGCGCTGCGACACACGGAACACAGGGGTCAGCCCAAGCACCCCTCCATCCTCCACGCCCGCACCCAGGGGCCACGAGGAACCGAGAGCAGCTGTGGCCAGGAGCCTGTGGCTGTGAGAGTCGATGGACTGTAGAGTCGTCAGGCTCTGAGCCCCAAAGTTCCCCTTGGGGTGTCCCGGAGTTATCACAGCCGTTCCTAAGATGGCACACGCCCTGCTCAGGGTCTCCCAAGGGCTTCCTGTCTCCGGTTGCCATGGGGGTTCCATGAGGAACTCTCGCGCCACCAGCAAGTATTGCTTTAGGGTGGTGATGGCATGACTGATGTGCCAGGAGGCTGGGGCCGGGCATCCAGTGGCAGACCTGCTTGGTGGCCCAGGTACCTGGTTCTTGTCCAGCTCACAGTTCTTGTACTCAGTCTGCCCCTGCTCCTGGAAGGTGACAATCACAAAGCCCACAAAGATGTTCATCATGAAGAACGCGATGAGGATGATGTAGATGATGAAGAAGATGGCTATCTCCACTCGGTGGTTGTAGATGGGGCCCGTGTCCTCCTTGTTGGCGTCGATGGCCTTGTAGAGTAGCCTAGGGGTGTTCAAGGAAGAAAGGCTGGGCTGGGCGGGTGCGAAGGGGCAGAGAACCCAGCCAGGAGGGGGAGGTGCCCTCCAGCCCTCCAGCCATGGAGAACCAGGGAAGCTTTCTGAGCAGCCAGGTGACCAGAGGGAAGTTCTGGCTGTGCCAGGAAGAGGCTGGGATAGACCCTGCAGTGGCTTTGCCTTTCTCAGGAGACCACCATTGACTTGTAATTAATCAGGGGCTCCCTGAGCAGGCAGGGATGCACACACCTGTGTGAGACCAGGTACATTTTGTCCGAGTCTCTGGTTTGGCTCCCAGCTGAGTGACGGTCAACATGACTGTCCTACAAGCCATCAGAGAGTCGCTCGGCATGGTTGGCCCTGCCCTCTGGCTGGGGGATGGCCTTGGATGGAGTGGGGGCTGCAGAGGAGCAGGCTGTGTTTAACCCAGCACCCCACCCCCCAGCCCACTCACTGCGGCCATCCCTCAAAGGTGGACACTGTGAAGAGCGACATCATGGCCGAGAGCACGTTGTCGAAGTGGAAAGCGTTGTGTAGCCACCGCCGGGGCTGCAGCACCATCTGTGTGGGGTCCCCGTCTTTGTACACGTAGTAGTAGCCCCTGATGGGGAGAGAGAAGCCCTGTCATTCCCCTGCCTGTGGCTACGTGGCCACCTCCTCCCTCCCATCCTCTGGGCCCTGGGAAGTAAGTGTGCAGGGAAAAGGAGGACCAGATCTAGCACCGCGGGGGACCCCTCTGGGCTCCCCTTTTCCACAGTTCTCTTAACACCCCTGCTGGGCCCAAAGCTCAGATTCCCCAGTTCCCCAGGCTGACAGTCCACCCTACCGTCTCACATTCAGACCCCCACCCAGCACCCCTCCCATGGTGCACGCCTCTGCCCCCAGAGCACGGCATACCTGCACTCCTCTTCTGTCATCTTGGATAAGTCGTTGCAGCTGAAGAACTTTCCCTGGGCCCAGGAGAAAGAGGGAGGGAAGGAGACGTGTGCACGGAAATCAGATTAAGAGCTGGACGGTGGAAGGGAGGCGAATGGCAGGAAGAAGGGGAGCGGGAACAGCAGGAAGCAAGCGTCTGTCCTGCCCCCTACAGCAGGGGCCTAAGTCTTGGGACTACATTAGCTGCTGTGGTGTCCGTTCGACTCAGAGTGACCCCGTGTGTATCTGAGCAGCACTGTGTCTCGTCAGGTTGTTGGGTTTGCCTTGGTTTTAGTTATTTGTTGTTGAGAACGAACATATTCAACGAAACAAAACAATGCAACTGTTTCTACCGGTCCGATGCAGTGACACTGGTTCCGTTCTTTGGGGTGTGCAACAACACTCACCCTTCTTTTCTGATGGCTCCTCCCCTATCGGCACACATCCACCACCCCCTAAGGTTCCTATCGAGCCTGTTGAGTGGCCGTTGTCACTTGGATCCCTTATAAAGAGTTCTTTAACGTGCACGCTTCTCAAGGCAGACTTCCTTTTTAATTAGTGAAGGTAGACTATTGTATTAGTCTAGGTACTTTGGAGAAACAAATCCACAGCGACTCATGTATAAGAGAGAGTTTCATGTAAAAAGAAAAGGTGCATCACGAAAACATCCCAACCCAATGCTGCCCAAGCCCACAAGTCCAACATTAACCCATTAACCCAACACCAGTCCACAAAGTCCTCCACCT